GAGGCAGTGGGAGCCCAGGAGCGCCAAGCGCCCCAGCCGTGATCCGCCTCTGCTCGGTCTGGAAGCTGCACTCACCCGCGGTTAGAGGAATCCAGACTCAAGGCACCTGGTCCAAGGCCACGTGACCCCAGAGAGCAGGGAGTGAGAACCCAGGCTAGAGGAAGGCCTCCGGGCGTGAGCGAGACCCGGCAGACCCAGAGCGCGGGCGCGCGGCTGAACGCGAGGACGCGCACAGAGGCGCCGGGACAGCGGTGCAAATCCGAGGGTTAACAAAATCGGCTCCTCCCCGCAGCCATCGTCTTTTCATCCAGACTCTTCTTTTTCCTCAGTTTACCCATGTCAAAGGTGTCCTCCATTAGACAGCCTCTGCCCTGGGTTTGCCCGGATCTGGATGCCCATTTCTTCTCTCTTCCTGGGCAGCCCCTCTGGCCCGGGCACCTGTACCTCTCCGAGCCTCGGGCCTGCTCCGGCTTCCCCAGGCAGCGGCTTGGCCATCGTGTCACCTTCTATGAAGGAAGCCATCATTTATTTGGGGACCTCCAGGTTAAAGGACCCAGGCATCCCTATCACTGAGTCTCCGCCCTCCCAGGGCTGGAGAAGGGTTAAGGCGCCTGGAGTCTGCAAAAAAGTCGACTTCCAGCAGTAGGCTCAGCAGCCACTGGGCTCAGAGGGCGCCCCAGCCCGCACCGGCTTTGACTCTGCAACCGCGGACCCCAAGAGCCAGGGCTGTGCTCCGGCTGCGCCGTCTGCTCCGCTGTCCTGTTGCTCTGCTGCCAGCACACTGGAGGGTCGGACCGGCGAGCCCGGAATCCCAGGCCTCCGGCTACGGCACTTAACGTCTGGAACCATCTGGCGAGTCTCTTCTGCCCCGCGTCATTTTCTCTCTGGAAAATGGGGCGATGCTCCCTTCACCGCAGCGCTGTGGGGGATTCCATTAATCAAGGTGGAAGGCGAGGACCTGTACCCTCCCCCAGATCGCGCGCACCTGTGGTGCCGGCCGCCGGGCACTGGGCCTGGCACGTTTCTCCTCCGAGACCGGTGAGGTGCTTGCTGCGGCACGGGGGGCTCCTCACCGAGGCTCCTCCTGGGCGTCACCCTCAGATGGCTGTAGCGAGACCTGCGTCGCCCTAGGTGGGGTCCCCACTCTTACAGGGTGAGAAACACAAGCGCAAAAAGCACAGCGCCTTCGCTCGAGACCTCCGCGCTTGGGCAGTGGCTGGGTGGCAGCTCAGACCCCTTCCGCCTCGGGGAGGCCGGCGCGGGGGTTCTCGGCAGTGGGGACCGTACCACTCAGCGCGACCAGGCAGGTGGTGGGGAGCAGGGCGCTGTGGGGACTGCGGCGCACACTGAGAGCGTGGGCAACGAGTTCTGTCGCACGAAGGGGTCATCGAAAGCTATTTCACTAAGAGTAAATATTAAAACGTGTCGTGTTTTCGCAGCCCTACTTTGGCAAAATTTCTATTTTTAAATTACACGCAGGAACAGTTTATAAAATGATAAAATTGTGGCCCAGGTTTTTGTGGTATTTTAGAAGCCTGGGAATCTTCACGCAGCGACACCCCCGCGCACATATGCACACGCACGAATACACATGCACACGCGCGCTAGTGCACACACGTATCTGCACACATGCACATGCCAAGCGCGCATACACGCACACACACCCGCTTATGCTCAGGCCCACACGAGCCGCGACGGGGTAATTACAGCTCTCGCCCGATGGCGATTGGCCAGCCTGCTCCTCCTCGGGGCCCACAGCCAATGGGCAGCGGTCCGAACGCGGCCCCGCCCCCGGCGCGAGTGGCGCGGACGCGCGAAGGCATCGCGCGCGGCGGG